GGGGGGATTGGGAAAGGGGGGTTACGAAATTTGCTGCATGCGGCTGGTTTCGGCCTCACCGAGGGGCCCATTCCTCGATACATGGCCGCCTCCGGCGCCGGGAGGCGCCGGGGAAATCAGCTACGTGAGCTGATTCTCAACCCCCCCCTTTGCTATCCCCCCCTTTCGCCCGACCCGAGTATTGTCGGAGGCGGGTCCACGCTGGACGCCCGAAATGGGTACCGAAAGAATGGGTACAATGCCCAACAGTAGCTCCTGTTCATTCTGAACAGGCCTCGCTGTCCGCGCCGCCGCGGCCTGTGTCCATTCGAGAGAGGAGGCCGCCTGCCCAACAGCGGCCGCTGTTGGTTTGGGACAACATTTGTTGTTGGGCATCGTACCCATTTTTTCGGTACCCATGTCGGGCGTCCAAAGAACAGCGCACACCCATGCCCGTAGGCGGGTCGGGGGGGGGGGGCTGTGGGTGCGTATTGTCGGAGGCGGGTCCACGCTCGAACGGGAGCGTCCCCCAGGGTTGGACAACCCGGCTGTGGGTGCGCATTGTCGGATGGGGGTCCACGCTCGAACGGGAACGCCCCCCGGGGTTGGACAACCCGCACCCATACCCACCCTCCTACCGACCACCCTGTGGGTATGGGTGTGTGTGTGTTGTTCGCGCGTCGTCCTGAGCGCTCCACTTAAGAGCGGAAAGTGCCAGGGAGGGCCGACGTTGCCTCGACTGCCCTTGCTTTAAGTCGGGCGTGTCCCCCTACCGGGGGATTTTCGACGAAAAATAAAAAATACCCCCAAAATATCCCAAGAAGGTAAGAAAATACTCAAGACATGGCTCCCAGACTATTGTTGGAGTATTTTTTTGATTTTTTGGTTGGGGTATGTATTATTCTTCTTCGAAAATCCCCCTGCAGGGGGACAGGCCTGACATAAGCCTTGCTCCAAGGAGATCTGCCACGCCCCGCAGGGCGCCGAGCTCCCCTCGCACTACTACCACAACGCGACCATCTGCCAGTCGGACCTCGTAGGTTTCACCAAGCTCGCGAGCACGAAGAGGTCAGGGGTTGAAGCTCGCCGAGGGGCAGCGAGCGCGATCTGTGTTTCTGGGGCGACGGGGGAGAGGGCGGCAATGCTTCTGTTGGGCAAGAGCAAGCATGAGCAGCCCAATCGTCGGCAAGAGTGGACCTGAAATCAGAGCTTCTCGCGAAGGGCGGCTGGAAGGATTGCCGTTGACCGATCAAGCGCGCCCGCCGAGCGTACGGGGATCTGGCCCTCGAAACAACGCTGCCCCCCCAGCGACCTTCAAAGCGTGAGGACCCCAATCGCCAACGCGTTGCCGACAGGGGCCCCAGAGCCCACCCCTGCCAGGGCCCTTCGGATTCGCTCTCGGGGGCCCAACGCCCCATCGGCGATGCATCACCGATTCAGTCCTCCTCCCTACCTCCGCGTACTCCTCCTTCCGCCTGCCATCCTCCTCCTCACTCTCCTCCTCCCCCTCCCCCCTTTCCTCCTCTCCTTCTCCTCCTCCTCCTCCTCCTCTCTCATCCCTCCTCCTCCTCCCTCCTCCTCCTCCGGCCTCGATGCACACCCCCCCGAGCTAGGTCCACAGACGTTATATTGTCCCTTTTTTTGTTGAAGAGGCACGATGAGGTCGTTGAGCTCGTCAGGGACCTCTTCGGCGCGTTTGACGACCTGCTGGGCCGGCCCGGCGACCGTGGCAAGTACGACATTTGGAAGGTGGAGACCGTGGGCGACGCGTATATCGCCGGGCAGGCCGGCTTCCCGTCCACACGGACGAACAACCCAATCCACGTGGTTGGTTCGAAGTTTCGAGGATCGGGGTTTTCGGTAGTTTCCTTCTGTTCTCGGCGGCTCTCCAGCCTCGAGATGCCTTCCAGCGGGAGCGCCTCGCCCAGAGTGTTCTAGGGGTGCCCGAGTCGTCCCGAACGGCCGCCAGAGCCCCGGGTTCTGACACGAAGACCACCAGGGGATGAGCTCAGGGGAGACGCATCGAGCTCCGATCGCCCACTGATCGCCGATAGAGGCCTGATATCCACAGGCCGACTTCCCGTTCACGCGGACGAACAATCCAATCCACGTGGTGGCCTTCGGCATGGAAGTCATCAAGGTGACCAAGAAGTGGTCAAGCCGGAACGGGTTTAACGTCGGCTGCCGGGTGGGCATTCACACGGGGTCGTGCATCGGGGGCATGGTCGGCGAGGAGATGCAGAGGTATCATTTGTTCGGTGATTTCATGTCCTGCCTCGAAGGTCTCGAGTCCACCGCCCCAGAGGATGGAGTGCAAGTCAGCGGCAGCTGCATGAACGCTGTCCTTGACCGCATCAAGGCGGACAACCTCCCAGCGGACCAGGTCAAGTTCTTCGCCAGGGCGGAGAAAGAGCTCAAGACCTCCAAGGGCGAGCGCGTGCCCTACGAGGACTCGTGGGCGGTATCCATATCCACCGCCTCGCGGGCTGGGCCCGGCCCCCTGAGCCTTGTCCGTATGTCGGGAGCCTTGAGACGGGGGTCAATGCAAACGGGGGTCAGCCAGAGCGCCCGATCTTGCAGGATCCTGCAGGGCCCTAGGGCCCTAGGGTCGCATTGACCCGGGTTTGGGTGCAGGATCTTGTAGGATCTTGCAGGGTTCTGCAAGGCCTGACTGACCCGGGTCTGGATTGACCCAGGTCAGAAGATCCCCGACGTGTGGATCCGGGGCGTTGTTTCGCGGGTGTGCTGTGGGGAACCCGCGCATCCACGAGATCGCGCCACGGACTCCAGTCCGCGAGGGCGTGGATACTTGGATCCGTTCGCCGCTCGTGGGAGGACGTCGGCGGCGCCCCCACCTACATCGTCGTCGGCTGCACGGGGCCGAACGGGCGGGTGGCCTGAGGGCAGCCGCTGCGGCAACGACGCGGGCGGCGAGCGGACCCGCGCTCGTGCCTCCCGGGCGCCGCTGCCGCGCCCCCTCCTCCTCGTCCTCATCCTCCTCGTCGTCGTCGTCCTCCTCCTCCTCCTCGTGGTCCTCGTCCTCCTCCTGCCCCCCCCTGCTTGGATAGCAGGGGTCCCGTCATCGACTCGGGGATAGCCGGGGCCCCCCCCACTGGCGGAGCCAGTGGGGTGGTCGGCGCCGCCTGGATCGGCGGGGTATAAGTAGAGCCGGGGACCAGGCCGCAGGACTGGCGGAGGCGGGAGGGGTCGCGCCTCCCCCGGGGGAGGGTGGCAGGCTGCTGTGGGACTGTGCCCCTCCCCTCCTCTCTCCCTTCTCCTCGTCGTCTCCCCCTCTCGTCTCCTCTCCTCCCCCCAGGGTTCACAGCTCCCACGGCGGTTCACCCCCCCGCCGGGGCGAGGCCGGGGGACCGGTGGTCGATGTTTCGGCCGCGTGCGCTCCAGGAGACTCCGCCTTGTTTCCCAGGACAGGCCTGGGGGTAGGTGGCAGGCTCGTTTTCGCCGCCGTTGTGCGCGTTTCGCATCTTCGGAGGTCAGGCCAGCAGAATCCAGCAGAATCCTCCTCCTCCTCCTCCTCCCTCCTCCTCCTCCTCCTCTTCCTCCTCCTCCTCCTCCTCCTCCTCCTCCTCCTCCTGCCGCTGTTGCGTGGGCGGCCCCCCAGAGGCGCCTGAGAGCCCCGCGCGGCCCGCCGCCGGCCGGCGTGCCCCGCGCGGCCCCTCGGACTCTTGCGCCGACGACCCAGCTGCACGTCAGCTGGAGCTCAGAGGGTCGCCGCCCACCAAACCACCCCAACCCAACCCGAAGGCCCAAATTTATCCTAGATTTCCAGTGTGGGGGGGGGGGGCGGGGAACATGGAAAAAATACATGGAACCCGTACCCCCCCCCAAACCCGAAATTCGGGTCAAATTCGGGTCTTCGGGTTGGGTTGGGGTGGTCTGGTAGGTAGTCAGAGGGGGAGGCCCAGACAGGAGCGCGTCGTAGAAACATCCGGGCGGGAGGTTTTTGGCTATCTTCGGCCCCGGAGGGCCCTCGCCGGGCCTCGGGGGCGTCGAAAAACGATTCAGGACGAAGAACCGGTCCCGGGAAAGAGTCGGGACTTCCAGGGACGGCGTCCTGCAAAAAATCAAGACGTCGCATGTCTGGGAAAGGTGCCCACACCACTACCCTCTCGAAGACGAAAAACGCTATATGTAATACTTGTGGCGTTCTGCGCTGATTTCTTGGATCCGCGCCACCCCCCCCGGCAGCGCCTCCGGCGCCGCCCCTGGCGCGCTCCGCGCGCCAGGGAGGGGGGTCTGGCGCAGATCCAAGAAATCCGTGCGGAGCGCGAAAAGTTTATGTTTATAGCGTTGTTTTGGCCTCCTGGGAGGCCTTCGTCGTATCCACTGGATTCGCCCCGCAAGCCTGGCCAGAATGCACCTTAGGAGAGGCCCGTGGAGTAGTGGCATCGGTACCTCTTGGCCTCCCGCTGATCCTTCGCCGGGGTGACCTTCGGTGCGCGGTTTCCGGGCTGCTCGCGGGCGCCGTGCCAACGCCCCGCGCGCGGCGAGGAGAGCCGTGCCTCGGTCCGCTCGCGTGTGGCGCGGAGGCCCCGCGGCGGCCCTGGGGCCGCGCGCGCCCGCCGGGGTCCATGCGGCCGGGGTTGTCCGCACGGCGGAGGCGCCGCAGTTAGACGACCTCGCTCGGCGAGAGAAGGAAAGCCCCAAACAAATCATGACGGGAGATGTTTCCATATTTTCGGCCTCGGGACCGTCAGAAAACAACTCAGGATGAAAAACTGGCCCCGGAGAGTGGGTCGAGACCTCTGAGGGTCGGCGTCATGAAGAAGTAATGACGTCGGGGGTTTGGGTACGCCAGGGTTCCCCTTAGTGGGCCTCCTGGGAGGCCCTCGTCGCCACCGCTGGATTCGCTTCGAAATCCTGGTCAGCACGCGACCTGGAGTAGCGGTATCGATGCCTGTTGGCCTCCCCAGACACGCTCGGGTCTTGAAAGCATCACGACAGCAGGTTTTCGGCCATCTCCTCGGCCTCTGGGGGCCCTCGCCGGGCCCCGGGGACAGTCCAAAGATGCTTGGGGCGGCAAGAGCAGGCCAAGGGAGGGGTTCCGAACTTCCGGAGGGCCCGCATACATAACATCAGGACGTCGCACATGTCTTTGGGGGGGGAGGGGGCGGGTGCCACCGCGGGCCCCGGCGCAGCCGCCGCCGCTCCCCCGAAGGTGGGGCCGGCCGCGCCACTCGCTCCGGGTGCGCCCCGCCCCCCTTGAGCGGCCCATGCTCGGAAACTGAACCATCGACATTACCAGTGTCGGGTTGTTTTTCAATGCCACGACTTTTGGAGGGTCGGGGACGACTGACGTCGGGCTGGTGTGGTGTATATGTTTCCCCCGTTTTCCAAGGGAAACGACGCAACATGTATACAACAGGATCCCGTATACACCAGGATCCGCGTTCTTGTGCGAATTTCAGCGCAGGGTCGGAAAACGCGTCGGTGTATAGAGTGTGCTTCCCTACATGCTCCTTCTCATCTCTTTCGGCCGCCATCCCTGTCTCGTTCCATTCTCCTGCGTCGTGGCACCATTCGCTTCCACGGCCTCCCCGTCGTCATCGCTCTCCGCCAGCGCAGTTGGTTACTCTGCCTAGCGCCTAGCCGCCGACGCAAAAATGCCTGGGGGGGCCGGAGGATTAGAAGAAGGAGCAAGAGGAGAAGGAGCAGGAGGAGGAGGAGGAGGAGGAGGAGGAGGAGGAGGAGGAGGGGGAGGAGCAGGAGGAGGATTGAGGAGGATGATGATGAGAAGGAGGAGGAAGAGGAGGAGGAGGAGGAGGAGGAGGAGCAGGAGCAGGAGGAGGAGGATGAGGAATGAGGAGCAGGAGGAGGAGGAGAGGAAGGTGCAGGAGGAGGAGGATGATGATGAGAAGGAGGAGGAGAGCGAGGAGGAGGAGGTGGAGGAGGAGGAGGAGGAGGAGGAGGGGCAGCAAGGAGGAGGAGGGAGGAGGAGGAGAAGAAGGAGGGAGCAGGAGCCGGAGGAGGAGGAGGAGCAGGAGGAACAGGAGGAGGAGAGGAGGAGGAGAAGGAGAAGGAGGAGGAGGAGGAGGAGGAGGAGGAGAAGGAGGAGGAAGAGAATAAGGAGGAGCAGGAGCAGGAGGAGGAGGAGGAGGAGCAGGAGGAGGAGGAGGAGGAGGAGAAGGAGGAGAAGGAGGAGGAGGAGGAGGAGGAGGTGGAGGAGGAGGAGGCGGTGCACGAGGTACACGACAGGTGCGCATTGTTTCACCCCGCCGTCTGCTGCGTCCCCCCCCCCCCCGCGGCTCACGAGAGTGCCCGGGAGCGGGCGAGCAGCGCCAGGCGCGCCTGCCCCGCCGCCGCTGCCCGCGGCTCGCCCCGAGGGCTCCCGGGATGAGAAAAAGAGTGCGCCGTGGCCGCGGGAGCCTATCGTGAAGTCGGGCCTGTCCTTCTACGATGGGGGATCTTCAAACATAGTAAAACATGGGTTGGGTACGATGTCTTTGGGCATGTCATTGACGATTTGGGGGTATGTTTTGACTAGGTACAATTGTTCGCCCAAGATTCGCCTGCAGGGGGGCATGCCCGACCTAAGCCTATCGGGTTCCGAGGCGGGAGTTTATACACGACCACCGCCTGGAGGGTCAATTCTCGGCGACCTCGACGGGCGCTGGATCTGGATATATTCGGGCCCCCCGGGGCCACAATGTATCCCTATCCACTGCTCGCTGGGGCACCAGGGCGTCGTTTCCCAGGCGGTGGATATGGACAGATCCCCGCCTCGCATATCCGGTCGACTACGCGCCGGTCGTCGAAAGCAGGTATTTGAGAACTCCCAGGTTCCACTCTACTTTCTAGGCGCCCTCCTGCGTCGAGGATCGACTGGTTTGCTTCTTCCCTCCTATTCAGGGGGCGGGCGGGAGCCCAATATACTTCCAACGCCTACTTCATGCTTCTACCCACTGCTTCCGACCGTCGTGCACACGTAATGAAGAGTGGCCAGTCGCCTGGGGGCGTCAACCGACCGCCCCGCCGATCCTTCCCAGATATCCGGCCACTCCACTTTCTGAGCTGCGTGGGCCCAGGAGGTCCGGACCACTTCCCCGGCTCTTCTTCCGGAGTCGCTTTTTGTCGGGGGTGGACAGACCTCCTACCCTGACACGTCGACGGAGGAATTGGCCGTTTTCGGTTCGCGGGAGGGCGTCGCGGCCGTACTTTTGCGGGTGCAGGTCCGTCGGTTTCGGTCCCAGGCCGTTTTCTCGAAGGGGAGGTCTACCAAAGGGAGCTTTGTCCCCAGACCCCCGACGTAATGATTTTTTCATTACGTCGACCTCCAGAGGTCTGGACCCTTTCCCCATGACCGGCTTTGCATCCTGAGTCGTTTTTTGACGCTCCCGAGGCCCGGTGAGGGCCCCCGGAGGCCGAAAATAGCGAAAAACCTCCCGTCGTGATTTTTTCGCGACGCGATGGGGGTCTGGGTTTGCCGCTCCCGAGGCCCGGCGAGGGCCCCCCCGGGGCCGAAGAGGGCCCAAAGAGCCTCCCGTCCGGAGTTTTGCTTTTTGCGCGGCGCGGTCCTGCCTGCAGAGCCGGCCGCCCCGCCGGGCCCTGCCAGGCTGGCGCTCTCGAGCAGTGGCGAAGCGTCCTGGCTCGCCTATAGCCCTACCAGACAATGCTCTAAGAACCTTCCCAGACCCCCTCGAGTAATGAAAAAATCATGACGGAAGGTTTTTCCTACTTTTCGGCCTCTGGGGGCCCTCACCGGGCCTCGGGAGCGTCAAAAAACGACTCAGGATGCAAAGCCGGTCATTGGGAAAGGGTCGGGACCTCTGGGGGTCGACGTAATGAAAAAATCATTACGTCGGGGGTCTGGGTTTTGTGGTTTCCACGCGATGTTCTTGGAGCAGTTCTGTCTCTGATTGCCTCGTTTTGACACATCGGGCTTATGTTCTGAGAACGCTGCTTTTGTCATTGAGACGTTTCTGTGTTCTCTGCAGGACCTGTATGCTGATAGGAATGCCGGAACGGTCGGTCCCTGCTCAAGACACTTGTCGGGGGAGCGTAAGACCCGGGTTTGCCAGGACTCGGGTCCGCCATCGTTTTTTGACGACCGCGTCTCGGATTTTGACGAGGAGGAGTTTCCTGGGATGTCTGCAGCGGGAGGCCTCGTCAAAATGCAGGCTCGGCCTCGTCATTTTTTTGACGACCTCGTCGGGGATTTCCGAGTCCCCTGTACCCGGGTCTTACGCCCCCCTGAACTTGGGCCCATGGGTCGGCGCGGCCAGGGGCCAGGAGCAGCGGGCAGAGGCCAGTCCCTGGGCCCAGGACGGGCCGGAGCTGGAGCGGTGGAGGTATGCTCCGCGGGCGCTCCCCGGGCCCCGTGCTTCGGCGTCGCGGCTCTTGCGGGCCTCTGCCCCCTCCCACCGCATACCTCAGGAGGCAAAGAAACACACAGACACAACTATTTTTTCGATTCCCCAGAGAATATGGGAAAATATGGGAGTTGGGGGGGAAGACAGAAACCCAGGAGATATAGGAAAATATGGGGAATCTTGTTATTTGTGTGTATTTGTTTGTGTGTCCTGGAGCCCCTTCAATACCCTGGCCCCCTCGGGCAACGAAAAAATCCTGACGGGAGGTTTTCCATCTTTTCGGCCCCCGGGGGCCCTCACCGGCCCTCGGGACCGTCAACAAAACGCGACCCGGGACGAGAAACCGACCCCGGGGAATAGGGTCGAGACCTCTCAGGGTCGACGCAATGAAAAAGTCATGGCGTCGGGGGTCTGGGAGCCCAGACCTTTGACGTCGTGGCTCTCTCGGGCCCCTGCCCTGGGGGAACGAAGGATGACATAAGCCTAAAAACTCGGAGGTCCGCGCGGATGTCTCCCCTTAAGACATAGTCGTTATATATATATATATATATATATATATATTATATATATAAATATATATATATATATATATAGATGCAATTCTTAGGAAGGTAAATTTTAAAGAAAACATTGTATTTTATTTAGGGTATTATACTCGCGCCTGGCGGCGCCTCCGGCCGCGCCCCTGGCGCGCTCCGCGCGCCAGGGAGTGAGGGTCCAGCGCGGATCCGGGAAATCCGCGCGGACCTCCGAGTTCTCATGCTTATGTCATTTTTCGGTTCCCTATGCCCTCCCCCCCCCCTCATGCCCCGCAGACCTTTCCTCTCCGCCCGGGCCGTGCCAGCGTCGCTATAGGGCCTCGATGTCTGACGGCCCCCGGGGGCCCAGGGCGCGGCGTCTCAGAAAGGTCGCCCAGGCGCAGCGAGAACCTGCCGTCGCGTTTCTTTGTTGCTTCCTTGGGGCGCCCGGGGGGTCTCGGCCCCTACCCTCCGCAGGAGGTCGCGGGGCGCCCAGGACGGCGCCGTGGCCCCAGCAGCGCGCGCGGGGAGTCCGCGGGGCTCCGCGGGAGGCACCGCGCGGTTGGCTGTGGGACCCGGGCCGCACGATCGGAGCGTCGACGCGTCGGGGGCCTCTGCGCCGCCGGGGTCCCCAGGACCGTGTGGCGACGGACCGCGCGGCGAGGCCTCCGGGGGCCCTCGAGGCCGCCGCTCGGTCCGTCGCCTCGCCGCCGCGGGGGCCCCGCGGGGAGGAGGCGCCCCCGCGGCCGCGGCGGCGCGCCTCCGAGGCGAGGCCGGGGCGCGCTCCAGCCCCCCCTGGCCTCGGGGGCGCGGCCGCGAGGGCGCCCCTGGGGGGGGGGCCCTGGGGGCTCCCGGGCGCCACGAGGCCGCCGCTCTCGCCGCCGCGGGGCCGCCGGGAGGGGGCCCATGGGGCTCCCGGGCGCCAGGAGGCCGCCCGGGAGGCCCCTTGGGGCAGGTGCTCTGCGTCCGCCGCGTGGCTCCGTGGCGGGGCCCAGCCGCGCCCTCGCCGAGAGCGCTGGTATCATCCAGGCCTCCCAGGTGTGGTTCGAGCAGGTGTGGTCGGAGGATCGCGCCGCATGGCCGATGCTCTCAAGCAGTGGCGGAGCGTCCTGGTTCGCCTGTAGGCCCACCAAGCAATGGTCTAAGGACCTTTGGTGGGTTCCGCGGAATGTTCTTCGAACATTTCTGGCTGGGACTGTCTTGCTTTAACACATCGGGTGTATGTTTAAAGAAAATTGTTTTTGTTATTGTTTTGAGAAAATTGCTTGGTTCTAAGAAGATTTCGTGGTAGGCCTATAGGAATGCCGGGACGGTCGGTGACTGCTCAACAGGTTTGGTTCGAGCAGGTGTGGTCGGGGGATCGTGCCGCATCGCCGATGCATCGCCGACGTACCGCCGATGCGTCGGCGATGCGTCGGCCATGCGGCGCGATCCCCCGACCCAATCGACTTGGGCCCCGATCCCCGCACTGGCGCTTCGGTTCCGCGGTGTCTTGCCTCCCGGAGCCCCTCTCCTGGGCCCCGGAGGCCGTCAGAGATCACCCGGGACGAAGAGAGAGCCGGTCCCCTCCGGAGGAGGAGGTTCAGGGGTATACTTCGTGGAAGGCTCGGTACGTCGGGTGTCTGGGAAATGGGCCCTGGCCCAAGTGAGCCTTAGGTGTTCCAGGGAGGCCCAAATGGCCTCCAGGTTACCTCGTCCCTCGAGGCCCTGAGGGCCCCAAGAGCACCACCACGGCGTGAGGGCACCCTGGGCCAGGGACGCATGTACAGCATCGCCCGAGAGTTCTCTTGCGCTTGCTGCCCCCGCCCCCACTCCCTTTCCCCCCTCTTCGAATAGGGGATCGACTACAGAATTGTTGCGCTCCAAGAGTAAGTTTCCGCCGAATCTGCAAACGGACATTCAGAATACCCGTCGGAGACTTACGGGGCATTATCATATAGATGTTCTGTGGAGTCGGCGGGGAGATCCATTTCCAGCGTGGGGGGGGGGTCGGGGGACACTGAAAAAACGCATCTGAAGCCCGTGCCCCCCCCCCAACCCGAAATTCGAGCGAAGTTCGGGTTTTCGTCCCTTTTGTCGGGCCGGGCGAAAGGGGGGGATTGGGAAAGGGGGAGTTACGAAATTTGCTGCATGCAGCTGGGTTCGGCCTCACCGAGGGGCCCATTCCTCGATACATAGCCGCCTCTGGCGCCGGGAGGCGCCGGGAAAATCAGCTACGTGAGCTGGTTCTCAAACCCCCCCTTTGTTATCCCCCCCTTTCGCCCGACCCGATTTTGGGGCTGATCAGATCGGCAGTCTCCTAGGGCCGGCGGCGACGCGCAGGAACGGGGCCGCAAACGGGGCGGCAAACGGGCCTTTGCAGGCGACCCCTCCTCCCTCCTCCCTCCTCCCTCCTCCTCCTCCTCCTCCCCTGACCTTCCAGAGAGCTATTTTTTACCACTGGAAACCTAAAAACCGAAAAAACGAGACGAAACAGCCTAAAACCAAGACGTAAAATAGCTCTGGGATAGGTTTTTACGTCGGGTGCTATTTTTTAGCCCTCCTGGAAGGTCAGGGTCCTCCTCCTCCTCCCTCCCTCGACCTCCTGCGGCCGGGGGTGCGCCAGGGCGGCCTCGCGGTCCTCCTGCACGGCGAGGAGGTGTGGCGAGAGATGCGGGCCGCCGCCCAGGCCGGGCCCCCCTCGCGCTGTGGCCCCCCCGCGCCGGAGGCCCCTTTGGGCCACGAAGAGTTTTCGGAGGGCGGGCGCCTTGAGACGGGGGTCCATGCAAACGGGGGTCAGGCAGGGCTCCTCCTCCTCCTCCTCCTCCTCCTCCTCCTCCTCCTCCTTCCCCTCAATGCAGACGGGGGTCAGCCAGGGCGCCAGATCCTGCAGGATCCTGCGAAGACCCCCTCTGGCTGACCCGGGTTAGCGGGCCGCTCGTGGCCGCGAGGCGGCTGCGCGTATTGGCTGACCCGGGTTTGCGAAGATCTGCGTTGCAGTCGTTTTTTCCTGCATTAACGGTTGTTCCCTCTATTCGGCCTTCGGTGACATTCGACCTCGTCATCGTCAGCATCAGCATCAACATCATCATCATCATCATCATCATCATCAATCATCTCATCATCTCATCATACATCATCATCATCATCATCTTCATCATAGTATCATCAGCTCACCATCATCATCATTAAGTATCATCATCATCCACCATCACCATCATCATCATCATCATCATCATCAACATCAAAGTTATCATCATCATCAAATCTCGTCATCAGCATAATTACCATCCTATCATAATTACCATCCTGTGCTGCCCTGTACTGTGACTGCGTGCACAATCCTCCTGCTGTTGCGGGTCTCTCTCCTGACGCCGGGGTGGTGAGAGCTAGCAGTGGGTTGAGTACGGTGGGTGGTGGTTGGTGGTGTGTTTTGGTTGTGGGTGGTGGTGGGGTTGGATGATCGTCGTCGTCCCGCCGGGGTCGTCGCCGTTGTCCGTCGACGAACCGGTGGCGCGACGGCGACGTGCCGGAGCGGCGGTGGCGCCGGCGCACGCGCGCCGCGCCGGCGTGCGGCACGAAGCCTGCCTGCCCTGGGCCGCTGCGCACGCCTGCCCGCCGAGGCCGACGGCGGCGAGGCGCGCAGGGGGCAGGGCCTCCTCCTCCTCCTCCTCCTCCTCCTACTCCTTCTCCTCCGTTTCCTCTCCTCCTCCTCCTTCTCCTCCTCCTCCTCCTCTCCTTCTCCTCCTCCCCCTCCCCTCCTCCCTTCTCCTCCTCCTCCTCCTCCTCCTCCTCCTCCCTCCTCCTCCTCCTCCTCCTCCTCCTCCCTCCTCCTCCTCCTCCTCTCCCCCTCGTCCGTCGTCGTCCTCCTCCTCCTCCTCCTCCTCCTCCTCCTTCTTCTCCTCTCTGGGGCCGTCTTGCGGGCTTCTTGAGCCGTCTTTGGGCGATCTTGGGGGCTTGTGGGCCCGTTCCCGAACGTCGGGAGCCCGAGAAGGCGAGAACGCGAAGCTCATGGAACACACGCAGAATAATCACAGACGTTGGCCTCCGGGTGTCCTCCTAGAGCCCACTTGGGGCGTCTAAGGGGCCTCTTGGCCTTCAGAAGCCGTCTTGGCGCCGTCTTATTGACCATTTGAGCTCTCTCAGGGCCCTCTTCGACCGTCTTGCACGCCTGTTGGAGGCCTCTTGGGGCGTCTTGGGGCGGTCTTGCGGCCTATGGGCTCGTCTTTGGGCGTCGGGTGCCTGAAAGGGCGAGGCCGCTTAAATCATTTAACAACCTAATGGGACTCAAGGTTTTTTGCCCCGTGGAAGTCCTCTTGAAGCTCTCCTGGGGCGTCCACGGGGCCTCCTGGTCATTTGGGGCCTCTTGGGGGAATCTCAGGGGGCCATGTTGGGGCGGAGGGTTCAACGTGTCAGTTCGTGCTCCCTCTCTTGGGCCTGCTTGGGGCTGTCTTGGGGTAATGTTTGGCCCCTCTTGGGGGCTCTCGGTTAGTTTTTGGTGGGTCTTGGGCGCTCTGGGCCGACGTGGACGCCCGAAAAACCAAAAAGGATGGTAATAGCAACACCATACAAAGCACATGGGTTTTGATGAGTTTGGCCTCTTGAGCCGCCCTCCAGGGCTTCCAAGATGGCCCAGGACGCGTCCGAGAGGGCTCCAGGACGGTGGTTGGGGCGATCTTAGGCCATTTTGGACATGCACGCCCCCAACAACGCGCTCTTGTCTCTGGAAAAGTCACGGGGAGATCCCCTGGAACGCACAAGAGCGGTGGCGGATCTTGCGGATGGAAAGCCGGTGGTGCTCGCGTCTTCTCGCCATGCACATTCTGTTCTGCATAGTTTGCAACAGCTTCACGGATGGCGGGCGGGTGGGTTTCAAAATGTGTGTTTTGCCACAGCTTCGTGTGAATTTGCTTTACAAGTCGCAAGCGTGCAACGATTGCACATGGAGGTAGGTTTATTTTCAAAGCGAGGTTGTCGCTGTTGGCCCCGCGCACATTCGCCTCGCACTTCCCAACAGCATCACGGGTAGAGGGCGGCTCGTTTTCAAGCCCTTTCAAACCTTCGCGGGTTTTGCGACCATCGTTCCAACGTCGTTTTTGTAAACGGGTGGAGGGCGACCCCTTTTCCGATGCGGAGCTCTCGCTCTGATGCTCCTTTGAGCTTTACACGGCCAAACTTTCATAATTGTTTAGCGGCAAAGTTGGTGTAGGATGTGTTGTTGTAGTTGCTGTTTTAGTTGTGGTTGTTATTGTTGTTGTGTTTGTTTTGTTTTGTTCCATCATGTGGTGTTGGGTTCTCGTTTTGAAGAGACAGCGCCCCGCGCCCCCCCTCCCGTTGCCCCCTCTCTTTTCCTCTTATCATCACTATAACCATCATCATCGTCCTTCTCTTCCTCATCATCGTCGTCGTCATCGCAACCCTAACCCATCATCATCATCATCATCATCATCATCATCATCATCATCATCATCACCATGATCACCACCATCATCTTCATCATTTCCTCAGTCATCGCCATCACCATCACCACCGTCTGCATCACCACCATCATACGCATCATCACCATCATCAGTACCATCATCATCGTCATCATCATCACCACCATCCCCACCATCATCATCATCATCATCATCATCATCATCATCATCATCATCATCATCATCATCACAAGCGGCACCGACCCCTCCCCTGAGACGAATTCTACGAACTGGATGGTCTTTTGATCGCTCCAGGGCCCAGGAACGGCCCCAAAGGCCCGAAATGGCGGAAAGGCGCCGGGATTGAACGAATCGCGTCGTTGAAGCCTGGGCCTCAAGAGGCCTCCCGAGGTCAGTGGGAATCTTTCGGGGCCGACCGAGGCCCAGCGACTGCCCAACGCACGAAAAACACACCGAAACCCACGACACGGATGCAGCCACGCAGTGCTGTAACAAGGATCGCTGTAACAAGGATCGAGGTCAGGGTGCCCGGGCGGGAGAGGAGGGCGGGGCACAGAGCTGGAGGAAGGGTGGGAGGGAGGAAGGGAGGGATTGAGAAAGAGACAGGGAGAGAGAGAGAGAGAGAGAGAGAGAGATCAGCAAGGCCCTCCCTCCCTCCACGTCCCACCCACTATCGGGCCGGACGAAGAGGGAGGATAGGGAAAGGGGGGGTTGCGAAAGTTGCTGCATGTAGTTTTTTTCGGCCCGCCTCCGGCGCCTGGGGGCGCCGGGGAAATCAGCTACGCGAACTGATTCTCAACCCCCCCCTTTGCTATCCCCCCCCTTTCGCCCAGCCCGACCCTCCCCCACTTACCCCCGCTTTCCCTGTCCCTCCCCCCCTTCCCTATTCCCCTCCTGCCCCTCCCCTCAATTCCTTGCGCGGGGTCGGTCGCCCCAGCGGGTCCGACCAAACCGCATGCGTGCCCCAGAGCACCCTGCGGGACCATTTTGAGTGATTAGTTTTTTGGCCGCCTTCCGGCAACAGGCAGCCTAAGCGGTCGCCGCGGATGTTGCCGTAAACCTCCCCCGAAACATCCGAAACAAAATCTTTTCTGAAGGTTCCAGGAGGCCGCCCGGGGAACGGCGGGCAGAGCCCATGCGTGGAGGCAGGGAGGCAAGGTGTTCCACCCCCTCCCCTCCGTTCTTCCCCCCTCTCCCCCCCTCCCTCGCCCCCTCTTTCTCCTCGCGGCCTCCTCCGTCATTATCCTCTCCTTGCGCCTCCTCCTCCTCCTCCTCCTCCTCCTCCTCCTCGTCTTCACCCCTCGTCCGCCGCGTCCTCCTATCCTGGTGCCATTCCTCGTCTTCCCCCTCCTCCTCCCCCTCCTCCTCCGCCCCCTCCATTTTCCTCCTCCTCCTCCTCCTCCTCCTCCTCCTTTTCCCCCTCCTACTCCCCCACACCCCCGCTGCGCCCATTGCCCGTTGGCTCAACTACTTATTTGAACTTGGCTCAACTACTTATTTGAATACGTCGTTGGCAACTACTTATTTCTTAAAAATAAGTAGTTGCCAACGACGTATTCAAATAAGTAGTTGAGCCAAGTTCAAATAAGTAGTTGAGCCAACGGGCAATGGGCGCGCGGGGTTGTGGGGGAGTAGAGGGGAAAAGGGAGGAGAGGAGGAGGAGGAAGAGGAGGAGGAGGAAAATGGAGGGGGCGGAGGAGGAGGGGGAGGAGGAGGGGGAAGACGAGGAATGGCACCAGGATAGGAGGACGCGGCGGACGAGGGGTGAAAATGAGGAGGAGGAGGAGGAAGAGGAGGAGGAGGAGGAGGAGGAGGAGGAGGAGGAGGCGCAAGGAGAGGATAATGAGGGAGGAGGCCGCGAGGAGAAAGAGGGGGCGAGGGAGGGGGGGAGAGGGGGGAAGAACGGAGGGGAGGGGGTGGAACACCTTGCCTCCCTGCCTCCACGCATGGGCTCTGCCCGCCGTTCCCCGGGCAGCTTCCGGGAACCTTCAGAAAAGATTGTTTTGGATGTTCCGGGGGAGGTTAATGGCAACATCCGCGGCGACCGCTTAGGCTGCCTTTTGCCGGAAGGCGGCCAAAAAACTAATCACTCAAAATGGTCCCGCGGGGTGCTCCGGGGCACGAATGCGGTTTGGTCGGACCCGCTGGGGCGACCGACCCCGCGCAAGGAATTGAGGGGAGGGGCAGGGGAAGTGGAGGGGGAGGGGAACGGGGAAGGGGGGGAGGGACAGGGAAAGCGGGGGTAGGCGGG